AAAAAAAAAAAAAAAGAAAAAGAAAAAGAAAATGTGATCTCTTCTCTCCCAAGAAATAAACTGAAAATAAATAAAAAATGGTTTGACATGGTCCACGCCAAAAGCGTTAGTACTGCTGCATTCCGTCTTCTTCCTCCTTCCTCCTCCCTCCTCCCTCCTCCCTCCTCCCTCCTCCTCCCTTTCTCTCTCCCCTCTTTGATCACCGTATATTGTCATTATTAATATTTCTGTCAAATAAATCTTAATAAATATTAAATAGTATCAGGCATACAGTTCCGGAGAATTCAGAGAGACTCCCTCGGCGCTGCCCTCACACATCTGACGCAGGCACATATTAGTTCCGTTCTATTGATGACCCCCCTTACTATGGCTACTACACTACTATCATGCAAGACATGCAGGCGATTTTTTTTTTTATTTTTTTTTTTATTTTTTTTTTTTTGGTGATAAATTATAATTGCTAGCTGTGCGGTTCATCTTATAAGTTAAGATACTCGAAATACTTGAGTTGACTTTACAGCGTATAACTGTGCGGATGCTGTTTGACTACCTGCTATGCATGTGTGGTTCATCTGAATTTCTCTTATTATTGATATTATTATTATTATTATTATTATTATTATTTATTTATTTATTTTAATCCGGGCGATGGATGATAGAAACCCAGACATACATTTTGCAGTAAGTTGGTAACATGCTTCTCGTTGTGTATTAATTTTGTGTGTGGTGCTTGTTCTGCGTACACCCGCTCGGTGTATATTGTTGTGGGTCCTACAGCGGATATTGTCTGAAGACAAAGTTGTGCTCGAAGGCGTGAATTTACAAGGCATCCGCAAGGGAATGGACCTTGGGAGTTAACAAAAAAAACTTGGGAGACAGTCACTGTGGAGGGAGGATCGCACATTGTCAAGCCGAAAGAGGAGGAAGAAAATAGATATACTATGAAGTGAAACTTCTGCAGAAGTTGGCATCGGTAATTGGTGGCAGTGAAAGATGAACTGTGAGTTCTGCAAGAGAAGTGCTCGGAAATGATTGTTCTTGCGCCATGAGCTGCCTTCTTCAGCAGAATACAATGCCCAGTCATTATCGCTGTATCTAGACTCAACTTTGCGCCAAATGCAGCTATGTATGATCTAGACTCAAACTTGTGCCAAATGCACAGCTATGATGACCGGGTGTTGTGTTCGGGCGAAGGCTGTGGTTGCGTGAGCTCCGTAGTCCATCGAGTTCGCCTACGCTTACCGTCTTCACCCGAACAGAACGCCTGGTCGTTATAACTGTGTTCGGAGTGCAACTTTCCGGCCAGATACAGACTCTGAGATAATGACCGACTGTTCTATTGGGGTGAGGTCGTCGGTACGACAGTCTAGGCAAACTTTCCATTTCAGGCTGGGCTGGGGTGTCCCGACTACCCACGTTCGTCCCCGTGCAGTGCACTTGAATCGCACCGGTACCTGGGAGGGTCTTCTTTCTCCGAGAAAAGGTCGACATAGACTCGGATTTCCCCCTCGGAGTCGTCGATCATTGTCTGTTACAGGGCCTTGTTGCCTGGCTGGGCAGGTCAGGTCAGGTCTGCAGCTACCAGTAGTGGTGATTTAAGCCATTAGTACCTCCACGTTCTTAGGCCGTTAATGCGGTGGCCGAATCTGCCTGCCCGGGGGGGCTACATTCATTCGAGTCAGAGAGGGCCTAAGAAATTCAATCCGTTAGGAACTGGTGATTTAAGCCACCAGACCACAATTTCCGAAGCTGTTTTGCGCAGCAACCTCTTCCCAGCCCCTCAGCCTAAGGGCGTCGCCATACGGTAAACGAAACGAAAAACGAAACAAAAAACGAAACGAGTGCATCCTCCCACAGAAAAGGAACAGGTTCACCCGTTTGCTATACATACTAAATAGCAAGGAATGTATTTTGTTTGTCGCCTCTTGTGGGCAGCAGATGCACTCGTTTCGTTTTCGTTTTCGTTTTCGTTTCCGTTTTGTGCGTTGCGTCGCGTGGCGAGGCCCTGACTTGCTGAACCGGGACCGGGACGAGGTCAACTGCCTGTCTGAAATATCTTCACTACTGGACAGATGGGAGTTACTTCATAGTACACGTGTTATGTGGGTAGTAGGTTGAGTCTGTCTGCAGCCCCCTTATAGCGCCCCCCCCCTCCCTCCTTGCATACGGACGGAAGATTACGAAAGACGCTTTTCCACGGCGAAGATAGGGGGTTGAAGTCCCGGAGAGTGCACTGTAATCTATTTTTTAGGTGATCTGCCTTTGCTAGCGAAAGGTTAAGGTCATGGGTTCAATTCCCGCTGGCTGAGTTGCAAGAAGAAGAAGCACTTCGAACCAGGCGATCGCCCTTGCAATAACGCTTCGGGACAAATTGTCCCATGCCTTGAGTTGAAGTCCCATAAGCGCTATGGTTATTCATTGGATTTTTTAGGGTGGCTAGTACACCACCGCATTTTTTTCTAGTGTAATTACTAGAATTGTATTAGCAGGTTCCTTGCCGCTACCGGCAGTGATAGAAATTTTAATAATAGCTCAGAGTCTCTGGTTGAGAGCTTGAGACTCGGCGGAAGAGGCTTATAGTAATTATTGTTGAAGGGAGTGGCTGTCGCTTAACGCCAGCAAACAGTCTGTCATTCGAATGTCATTGAGCTACAAAATTACAAGTATATACAAACGTAACATGCGCGTTAGACGATTGACCTTTTTTTTTTTTTTTTTTTTTTTGACCGCGTACGGTGTATTCAGAGTTGGCAGGTAGGTCTGGGTTAAGTTAAGGGTTAAGGGGGGGAACGACTGTGCGGTCCCATTGTGGGACTCTTTTTTAGGCCTTTGAGGCACTTTAGCTGTTGAGCAGTGTACATAGTAGAGTATGTCCAACGACTAGATTTGAATCATTCATTCTGCCTCCCCACCTGCTGATGGGCAGTTACATCCATTAACAAGCTTTCAATATGTCCAAGTAGATTTGAATCATTCGACCTCCCGACCGCCTGCTGATCGACAGTTATATGCACCATTGAAACACAATGTCATTCATTTTGTCAAACTAGATCTCCCGACCAGCTGATCAACAGAGTCGTATGCATGAACCCACTCATTCACCCACCAGCGGGGTAGCAACGAGTGAAATCACGTCATGGGAGATGATTGGCCAGCACCACCATGAGCTAGTAGGGCCACGCCGCCCGGGACACGAAACGAAAAACGAAACGAGTGCATCTTCCTGCAGAAAATGGCCAGGTTCGTCGGTTTACTATAAATAGTAACGAGCGTATTTTGCCTCCTTTCGTGGGCAGATGCACTCGTTTCGTTTTCCTTTCGTGTGCCGGTGCTTCTCACTGTACATAATTTGGTAAACCAAGTCGATCTCCACCATCTCCTCCTTCAACCTCTGACGAGTCGATCTCCACCATCTCCTCCTTCAACCTCTGACGCCACCACGGCTGTGGTAGTGCATGCACTGTGATGGACATTCACCCACCAGGCAGGGAGCCTGAGGGAGGTGGTGGCATAATGATCACCTCACCGTTGACCATTGGTTTGAACCAACTTTTGAGCTATATACAATGTATACATCATGGAAAATATATTTAAAATTTATTTTATCTCTATGATCCTTGTAGCATTGGGAAAGACTGTTCTGCAATGAGCACGGCTTTCGTATTCTTCATGTAGCTTTTTTTTTTTTTTTTTTTTTTTTTTTTTTTTTTTTTTTTTGGTTTCTTTCTTATACAAAGGGAGATGGCCTTGAAGTTGTCCTCGGCGCTGGGAATGTCCAGATGTCCTCGGCGACACTGGGAAGTCCCGAATTCCGTTGATCGCATTCCATCTGGATTCGAACTGAAGTCTGGATTTCAACAGTTCGCAGGCGTACTAACTGAGCTAGGCCGGTTGGTACTTCGCTTTCATCATCTCAACGCACTCCAAATCCAAATCCTCTAGTCGTGTCCCGTGCGGAGAGGAGGTTCTTGACGTCACAGATTTAGTTCACAGGCTCAATTCCCAGCGCATCGAGCACTTACCGTACAAGTGGCAGGATTTCATTTGCAAGTGCACATGCGCATGCGCATGAGAGAACCTCGCTATCCTACACCTGTTACACTTCTTCTTCTTATTCTTCTTCTTTTTCTTCGTCGTCGTCGTCGTCGTCGTCATCTTTGAACGACAGAAGAGTCTTGAAAAACATGTACATGTGCTCATATAAATATTGTAAATAAATAGATCTGAAACAAGCATTAGATTAGTCTGATTAGACACTTAAGATTTGAAGGGCACAGAGCACTTCTCCTCCGGACATCATGGGATGCGTGACACTGTTTAGCTTTCGGAGGTTGCGTAACCACTCGACCTCGGGCGTGAGGTAACAAACTTGATACACCATCATCGGCCTGCTTCCAGTGGAGTTCGGACTCGGGTCTGTATTTCAAGTCTCAACACTTCAGGGGTGTTTGTACCGACCGAGCTAGGCCAGTCGGTGGTGGGAGACTGGAAGTTGATGCTTATCTTTGCACAGCAGGAGGACATGCCTTTTTCTTTTTCTTTTTTTCCCTTTTTTTTTTTTTTCTTTTTTTCAGGGGGCAGGTACTACTTCAGACAACGTGTTCTTGCCAGGTGGTGTGTAGGGAGCGGCGATCTGTGCAGCACCTACCACCCGAATAATTTTTTCTTTGTTTAATATGTGAACTACTGCATCTGATTCAGCTTTACGCGTAAGTTCGATGAATCTTTCTGTGCTCTTGTTTTTCTTTGTTTGCTCATCGCGCACCGTCATGTACCCTTAAAGTTTGTTCTTTCGGAGTCTGCTCTTTTCTAGCATACAGAGAGAAAGAGAGAGTACACCACTTTGGTAATGGTCGCATCTGGGTACCAAGGAATTCTTTTGGTTATGAAGTTGATTTCCCTGCCCTCACCGTGTTGAAGTTCCGTTATAACTGCATCAAGGTTACTGGTGTGGTGCTGCTGCCACCATTTGTCTCCTTAATTATTTGATACTAATTATTATTCGTATTAATAATTTAATACCTGATTCCAGAATAAAGGAAAGGAATGAGACTCAATGAGTATTAAGGTTAAACCTTATTCTGGAGGGAAAACACCGTGGGTCAACAGAGCTATCATCTCTTGGTAAACTCCGACACCACCTCTCTCTCTCTCTCTCTCTCTCTCTCTCTCTCTCTCTCTCTCTCTCTCTCTCTCTCTCTCTCTCTCTCTCTCTCTCT